TGACAGTGGCAGTTATACCTGCCCTGTCAGAAGTCAGAGGGCCTGAAGCAACGGAATTCAGTTATAAGGGGCTTATTCTCAAGGAACAAGGTATCTTCAAATCATCTGCGCAACCTGCACTCTTAGCCTTCGTTTTCCTTTTGCTTCTTGCACACAATACTGACTTAAGCATCGGAGTGTTTCCGCCGGGAAAACCCCCGGGAGTTCTTCCTCTTTCCTCTCGTCTCAGGTACCTCTTAGGAGCCACGCGAGTGCCAGATAGGAGTGACCAGATCGCACTACATTATTAGGCTTTGTATGATTTAACAGTTTGCATAGTGCTTGTACATGGATAGGCACCTATGGCACCTGCTTCTTGTGGAGTATCTGAAGCTAAATCCACAAGCTTTGCATCTGCTCTTTTTGTTATGCTTTTTTTATCAATATTTTTGTTATTACTTATCCTTCGTCCACTTGGCAAAACATTCTCATCATACATCAGGACTCGGTTTTGTTTCTGATATGACTTTAACTAATTGAGTTGCAATGTACAAAAGCCTCCCATATCCATTGAAAAGTTAAAGGGTGCAAGCAGATTCATTGGAAAGGTATTATCAAAACTTGTCAGCCTATGCAACTTTGTAGCTAACTTGTCAAGTGTCACCTTTGCATTTAATGTTCTCATAGATCTTCCACCTTCACTCAGTAGCGGCAGTTTTCGACCTGGCTGTTTGGCGACTGCCGCTAGAAAGATAGATTTGTAGCGGCAGTCGTTTAAAACTGCCGCTAGAGGCCAAACGCTACCTCCCGCTCTTTCTCTCTCACTCAATCGTCTGCTTTTCTCTCTCAGTCGTCTCTCTGCCTCTCTCTCTCTCTCGCTCAGTCCGCCCTCTTTCTCTCTCTCTCAGCCTCTCTCGCGACTTGCGTTCTCTCTCTCTCTTACTCAGTCGTCGATCTGATTCTCTCTCTCAGTCGTCTCTCTGCTTCTCTCTCACTCAGTCGTCCCTCTCTAGATCTCCCTCGCTCTCAGTCATCCCTCTCTCGCTCTGCCTCGCTCTCAGACATCCCTCTCTGGCTCTCTCTCTGATCTGATCTCTCCACCAGCTTTGATTTGATTTCTCTCTGATCTGATCCCTCCGCTAACTTAGAGTGCAGTAAGAAGTGGGAGATGGATCTGAAGCTCGAGTTAATTTCCTAACGCAGCATTGTTCGTTCATCACCGATAGAAGGTAAGATTGAAAGTCTACATGACCTAGGATAGCTATCCTCCTTTCGTTGGTTTAGTTTAATACTGAATTGCGTTAGTATTAATTTTAGTATTGCGTTCGCTCTTTCTCAGTCATCTCTTTTGCTCGTTCTCTCTCTCTCTCTCTCTCTCTTTGATTTAAGAAAGAGGAAAAAACTGAAACTCGAACTGTAAAGGAAGATCGACAAGTAAATCTCTCTCTCTCTCAAATTGGCATTTGATCCTAATATGGTTCGTAAATATTTTTAAATGTTTAAATTTTGCGAAAACCTCATTAATAAATAGAAAACCTAGGTTATAACTTGGTAAAATTGCTTCGAATCATTTTTAAGAGTTTGACACTATTTCTACTTGGCCTTTCTCTTTAGAATATCATTTTAATTTATTTTTCACAATTATATTTGTGGTTTTACATAGTCACTGCATGAATATCATTTTAATATATAATTTATAATATACATATTATTGGGTTTCTTATGAGATAGTCCCCAATCCTAACTTATTTTTATTAGTTATGAATGGGATGAAGACACTTTCTGGCTGAGATGATGATGAGCTTGACTTAGATGGCTGGTTCTGTTGTTTACTTGGTTGTTAATATTTGGATTTTGGTATTTGGGTTTGGAAATGATGATGAGCTTGACTTGATGCTCTTATAGTGAATTTGATAAGTTTGCAAACTATGAGTTCACCATTTTGAGATTAGCCTTCTAATATCTAATTCTGTATTGGTTCAATAAGTGAGAAGTGAGAACTCTTCTGAAGTAATAAGTCTATCTAATTCTGTATTGGTTCAATTTATAGTGCTGCAATCTAATGCAACCTTGTCAGTTCAAAAACACTTGAATTTTTTTGGAATATATGTTGTCTTTTTAGTATTATCCAAACACCTGTTTCTGTTTGTATTTTGCCTTTAATTTGTTGCTCATCAGAATCTCTTCAACCGTTACTGATCAAAAACATTAGAATCTATTTCTAAGACATTCAAAAAACCCATCAGAAGTTAATTTCAAGCTTTAGTTTTCAAAACAATCAATTATGTAGAAGGGAAACGAAGTTTGCATTGGGGATGGTTCTAAGGGAATTCATACCTATTGCTCAATTTGTTTGTGGTGCAAATGAAGTTTGCATTGGTGTACAAATGGGCTGAGTGTAAATTCTACTTTATTTTCTTATTGTTTTGGATCAATAACAAAGTAACTTTTATTAAGCTAATATAATATTATACAAATTGATTTTACAAAAAGCAGCTCCCACTAAGCCAGCCCTTTCATGACATTAGGTAACCAGAGAAGCCCAAAAAAACTGCTCCCTAGAAACTACTTGCTTGGTAAGTGCACCTGCCAAACAATTAGCTGATCCACTAAGCTATCTGAATAAGCCTCTCTTGCAAGCTGTATAATCTCTCTCAGAACTTTGTCTGTAAATATATATCCCCTGGCTGTTGCTATTCATCCACCCCATCACCCAACATCAATTCACTTTCAACCTTCAGTTGCCTGAGTTGTAGCTGCTTGGTTAATCTTAACCCATGTAGTTTATATACCACAGTGATCTAATTGTGCAGGTCACTCCACCTGTTTGTTTTCTGGATCCTTTTTGAGAATGTAATGTCCCTGCACCGGACTAAGGCAACCTTTATTGGCCTGCTGGAGGCAGGAAGAGTAAATGAATGGATATTAACTGAGAAATTGGGAGATGCTCTCAAGGTAAAAGCAGCCAAGAAACCTCGAGTCAGCATCAGAGAAAGGTAATTTTCTTTACATGCTGATGCTATTTTTTCAGTTTGACAAGAAGGGAAGTGGGGAGTCTGATCAAAAAAGGCATCATTGTACATCAGTTTTCAAAACTTGGGTTTTCAATTAAGAATTGCATATGTTAGCATATATTTTGAAATTTGAATCATTAGCCTCTATATGTTCATATAAAGTCTCCTGGGGCTAGATTTGAGCAATTGAAGCCATAAGCAGATCCTAGGCTAAACAAGGCTGTTAATTTCCATCTTGAAGTTGGTGGCCAGTCTTACATGGCTTCCCAGTGTCCTGTGTTAAAAACTGTAATTGATAATTTGATACATTACTGTGTTATACATAATATCTGACACATTGCTTGTTTCATGGTTGATTTCCAACAGACTCCATCTGCTGGAGCTAGGAGTTGGAATGCTTCTCTTCCTTGTCGCATGCTATGGTCTTGCTTATGGAAAGAACCATTACTTCCTATACCTCTATCTGCAATCTTTGGCATTCTTCATGGTAGGGTTTGGCTATGTTGGCACCTTTGTCCCCAACTCTTAGCAGGCATGGCCGGATGCAATGGCACAATCCTCTTCAATATCTGTCATACCACCATGCTTCAATATCTGTCATATCACCATGCTTCAATAAAATTGAATGTAAATCATGTAAATTACTCATTCTCTTATGGGAAGTTTGTTGGCATATAGTAAACTTGTCACAAAGCACATATGTGAAGTACCTGCAATTTAACTCGGTGAACAAGAAAATATCTGTTTGACTCTTCTGAACTCTTCGACTCAATTTTTCAATGAATATAAGCAACTAAGCATACATTTTGATTCAAATTAATCAAATTTTGAGCTGTTATCATGTTCTCATGAGATTTCTTGAGTGAATTGTCTATTCTTTGAGTGATTAAGTTCTCTGAACACCTATCTATCATCTAGAAACAGCAAATAGGAAAATGGTCAAGTCTGTGGAATTGATAATTTTCCGAACATGATGATGATGATGATGAAGATGTAATTCTTGTCTACCTATGAGAACTGATATTTGTCACTGTTTCTGTAATTCTTGTACTCTCCCAACACTTAAATCAGGCTGTCAGATATGGACCCTTGTGCTAAATTCCAATAAATCATTCTTTTATTTCTTATAATTTTTTCAAGGGAACTTGTTTTGAAATTCTTACTAGAATATAATTTATTTAGGTTATTTAAGACTTATTTATGATATGATTATTTTTCAAAACATTGTGCTAAATTGGAAAATTACTAAATTGAGAACTCAAAGTAAGATCTTTTTTGTGGTTTTGTATGCTCTTTACTGATAGTTCTTTTATTGGAAAGGAACAACTGAAACATTTGCTTTAATATTTTTTTTGACAGGGAGTCCCTTGTGTGATATATTGGAAGAATACATTTTCTAGGTATGCAGCATGCCATTTTCGACAGGCATTGCTATCAGTGGTACAGAGGTATTATCGTTTACTGTATAAGGAATTCAACAATGAGTAGCCTCCTTGCCCATGATGGGGTGGTTAGTGTACTTTCTTGTTTGGTCATAGCACAAAAAATGAACCTACTAGATGATCCTTGCTGGCCGAACAGTGCTAATTGCTTCCTTTTAGATGATTTTGGTTAAAATGTTTGTAACATGTGGAAAATTTCACTTATTCAACAGTGAGGGTTGTCCATTTCATTTGATCTTTGGTCTAAGTGTTGTATGATTTAGATTCTTTATTGGTTAATCCATGTTAATCCATATGTAGAGGAAGGTTGCATCAGTCACCATCCATTAATGGGCTTGTAGAATGTTTTATTTTCTTGTTTTTTTTCTGTTGGAAAGCAAAATTAACTTGTGTTGTTCTGGTATTTTGGGTTTTCTATTGGTTGCTGCTAGTTCATGTAGCCATACATGGGATGCATTCCAACTTGCCCATGCATCGTTTAGGCTCTATTGTGTACGAAACAACCATGTCTTGCCAACCAACAGCCACAAGGTTAGTAGTAAGGTGGGGCCACGCCTACTAGGTGAACCCCCAAAGATTAATATTGCTCCACCTGAGAAGGAGGCTGAGGAAGAAGATGAAGAAGGTTCATCAGGCTCTCTCCTAGCGATAAAAGTATATGGTGATGATGTGAACATTAGGTTTCTTGTTTGTGGAGTGCCATGCACATTGGTGAGATGTACTTAGTTTTCATCATGTATTTTCTTTCTAAAAAATAAAAGAATAATATTCTTTTCCTCGGATTTGTTTCTTATGACATTCTTGTTTCCTTTTGAAGGATGCATTCTTGTTGGGATCTTTGGAAGATGGCTTAAATGCCATCTTAAGCATTGAAGTAAGTATGATGCAAGGTTGTTTGGTTTTACATCCATAACTATTTAACCTCGATTTCTTTCTTCACTGATATATGCTTGTTTTTGTTCTTAAATGTATAGAACTCTAGTTTAAGGTCCAAATTCTTCACTGATACTGTAAGCATTCCATCTTATTATCTTGAACCTTGGATAAAATGTCCTATGAGAACTAATTTTTCTCATATTCTTTCTATACCTAATGCATTGATTGGTGGAGCTAAGGCAGTGGATTTTGATTTTTTTTATTATTATTTTTCACAACAGGAAAGCTTTGTCATTCTCTGCCCCCTCCTTCATTCCTCTTCCAAACTGCCCAATGAATTTTCTCGACCTCAAGGGCCGAAGAGAGAGATAAAAGAGATCAATCCTGAAAGGGTATGCCTTCTGCATTTTGTTTCCTTGGATTTCTTTTATAGGTTTTTGTAATGATAGCATAAAGGCTCTTCTGGATTTTGGTAACTTAGCTCACAATATCATCTTACATCTTTTCGAATTGTGCTGAAATTTAAATGACTTGACCAGAGAGTCACATGCCCAGAAAGCTGAAGTGGCAATTAAACATTCTTCTACTACAAGGCAGCCATGGAGACACCTTGGATGTAGCAATTGGCTTATTTGTTGCTCGGCTCTCACAGTTGCAGAGAAGGTAAGGCAGAACTTTAGGAGGATGATTTGCTACTTCTGAACATGCACCCTGAAACAGTGCATTGATCAATTTGGTAATAAACATATAGCAAGTAATAAACATCCCAGCACCCTGGAGTGCTGAGGAAAGCAGTTCCAGGACAAAATCCTTGAACATGCAAGTAATAAACATCCCAGATTTGCATCTGCGGAAGGAGGATGATTTGCTACTTCTGAAACAGTGCATTGATCAATTTGGTGTGCCTCCAGAACACAGGTTCTCTTTGCTGACCCGAATTAGATATGCCTGGGCTTTTCGTTCTCCTAGAACCTGCAGGCTGTACAGCAGGATTTCTCTTGCATTCATTGTGCTTGTTCAGTCCAATGATGCTCATGGTGAACTTGTATCTTTTTTCTCAAATGAGCCAGAGTATACTAATGAGTTAATCAGGATTGTGCAGTCTGAGGAATCTATTTCTGGAACTATTAGAACACTTGCAATGCTTGCATTGGGGGCACAATCAGCTGCATATTCATCATCTCATGAGCGAGCAAGGATATTGAGTGGATCAAGCATCATTTCTGCTGGGGGGAATCGAATGATTCTTCTGAATACGCTCCAGAAAGCTGTCTTGACATTGAATAATTCCAATGATCCTTCATCTCTTTCTTTTGTTGAAGCACTTCTACAGTTCTACCATCTTCATGTTATATCTTCTTCAAGTTCTGGGAATTCTATAAGAGGATCAGGGATGGTTCCTACACTATTACCTCTGCTACAGGATGTAAATGTTACTCATATGCACCTTGTATGTTCTGTAAAAACTCTACAAAAGCTCATGGATTACAGTAATGTAGCTGTTTCCCTGTTCAAAGATCTTGGTGGTATGGAACTCCTGTCTCAGAGATTACAAACAGAAGTGCATAGGGTCATAGGTCTGAGTGGTGCAGATGACAATTCTATGGTTAGTTGTGATCTCTCAAGATATGATGATGATCAGTTGTACTCCCAGAAGYGGCTYATCAAGGCTTTACTGAAGGCACTTGGGTCTGCTACTTATGCTCCTGGATCATGCTGGATTAATCCAATCCATGACTGGAATGCTTCGAGTCTTGGACCTGGATCAGGCTGATGCACCTAAGGTTGTTACTGGAATTGTCAAGGCTCTTGAGTCAGTAACCAAGGAACATGTCAACTCTGCTGGTCTTAATTCTTGGAAGGGTGAGCACTCACGGAAGCCATCTGATCAAAACCCAGCTAGAAGAGTAGATAATGGTGATGATCAATTATAAGTGCGGACTTGACAACCTGCTATGACGAAAGAGGTGCTTTGTTAGCGGACAGGAGCCTCAAATCAATTGAAGAGGCCAATCAAGAGATCGAATTAACAGATCTGCAGCTTGGTTGACATCCTCTGTTGCAACATTGCCAGATCCAATGCATATATAAATTTACTTTTGTGCATGACGAAGGAGAAAATCTCCCCAATACGACCCAATACAAACATCAATCAATATTCTTTTTCATATTTATTAATAAAAAATTTTCGGGGTGAATTCTGATCTTGATCAAACTATCTTGTAATTGATGTTTTTTTTTAATATTTTTTGTATTTTATTTCGGATTAAATGAATACAGAAAGAAAAAAATAGAGAAAAAATGGTTATTCGAAAAAAATATATATACTTTTAGCGGCAGTCGCGACTACCGCTAAAGAAGCTTAAGGCTGCCACTAAAAATATACTTTTAACGGCAGCCGAATTAGAATTAGTGGCAGTCGCGACTGCCGCTAAAAAGGATTTTAGCGGCAGTTGAGCATTTATACCGGCAGCCGTTATAACTGCCGCTAGAATGTTTTAGCGACAGTTCTTTTAGCGGCAGTTTGCCGTACTGCCGCTAAAAGTCATTTTTCTTGTAGTTTAGACATAACAGATCTGAGTTCCTGTTAATATATGAATGACAGGAACAGAGAAATCCATACATTCTTTCACATGACTCTCTTCTCTTGACTAGTTTTTTTTGGCATATGATGCCATGTATTCAATCCAATTGTAGAAAAGATATCATTTCATGCTCCCAGCTTTGATCTGAATAATAAAAAAGTTTCAAAATTCAATAGCTTCCTATCTGGATGAACCTCTAATACTATATTACAGACATCCACCTTTGTGCTCTCTCTTATTAGCTGCAAGATTAGTAATTTCAGTTCAACTAAATCTTGATTGATAAGGTTAATAGTGTCAATTCAACCAAATATTGATTCTAATTTAATGTGTCAGTAGATTGGTTCGTAAATCCAAATATCCACCAAGGTATAAATATATGTATGTTTGAAATTCTACCCTCTCTTGATTCATTACTATCTATAGATTGTTGTAGATGTAATGTGTTTCCAAATCCATTATGAGGGTGCTGACCAATATTAATATATTTATTTTTTTCTTGTTTCTAGAAAATGTGACATCAGAAAAAAAATAGGGAAATCAATGATACTGGAAAGACATGGTACTAGAAGAGCTTTGACCAATCAAATCACCCCATGAATTGTTATGAATACCACCTGATTGGGCACCTCTTTTATGATACTAGTTGATTGGCTATCCGATATCATGTCTTTCCGGTATCACAGTCAAATAGACACATTCTTGGATGCATGTTTTTCCAAAGCAAGGTGAAGTCTTTTTTAGTTTAATTCAGGAAAACACCTCTGTTTCTGAAACAAAGAGATGGGTATTTTTTTAAATGTTTTCATATCCAAGCAGGTGACATGGGCTACTATTTTGTGCCACACCCTCCCTCCACCCCAAAATATCTTATACACATCTTACAAGTATGATCCACAACAACTAAGCCTCATCTCAAGTTTGATCTCAATCCTTGCACTTCTGATTTGTTTAGCATTAGGCTTTGAATGAAGTAGGCTAGTTTATATTGAACAATTAATAATTAGATTTTCATTACTGATTTTAAATATCTAAAAATGTAATTTCTAACTTATTTTCTATTATTTCTTATAGGTTGAATATGCTAAAGGAGATTTTCACTTAAGTGTCAAACATCCAAGTTGGCCAAAGTCAGCCCTTACAAAGTGAGAAAACAATATTCTTTTAAAGATTTTCACTTCATTTTACTTGATCTTGTATTTTGAGCATTRACCAATWTTTTACTSATAAACATWATCCATTCCCTAACAATTTATATGGTATGATTTGCAGGTTCAACCATTATGTTAAATGGATTTGCATTGGAAGACATGTTACATTATCTTGGAAATTGGATTTTTTAATTCCTTGTACAAATGGATATTGTATTTAAACAATTTGTTTTGGATATTATAATAATAGATAATTCAATTAATAGATTTTGTTTTACTTGCATTTTTTATTTAAATTGTTTTTTATGTATCAATTGTCATGAGATTTGTATTAAATAGGTATTAMATTGAGATTTGTCATGGAATTAAGCTAGTATAAAAAATAAAAAAAAATATCAAAGACGGCGGTCATACAACCGTCGGCTTAGCCATAAACAAGCCGTAAGGCGGCGGTCAAATAGGACCTAAGCCGGCGAATCAGACTGCCACCTAAGAAGGCAATTAGAGTTTTCACTAGCCTAAGCCGGCGGTTTAGACCACCGCCTAAAAAGGTAGGTAAAATTTTGATTGACCTAAAGTGGCGGTCAAAACTGCCACTTTTATTAATGATAAGCCAACAGTTCTGATGTACCGCCACTTTAGAGTTAATTGAACCGTTTCGGACTGGCCTTCAAGGGTGGCAGTCTTTTCTGTTTAAGCCGGCGGTCTTGACCTAAGCTGGCAGAGGTTTAGGGGGTGGACTGAAGACCGCCGCCTTAGATCAAAGCCAACGGTCTTAAGGCCTAAGCCGGCGGTTATGCAACCACCAGCTTAGACTGATTTTCTTGTAGTGTACAATGGAAGGCGTTGACTTTGAACCTTGATTTCCTTAAACTTCCTACACTAACTAATCAGTGAGTGACAACTATTCATTTTCCTACACTTCATGCTATGACTAAGAATTTAGGCTACGGAAGGCCACCCTTTGTTTTAGTAAGTCTTTTATTGTAAGAATAGATTTCCACATAAATCAATGCATTGAATGCAATATGGAAGTTTAATTTGCAGAATAGATTCTAGTTTTGTTTTTCAAACCCACTAGTATTATTAAAATGAGGATATTTTATTACTTGTGATCACTAAATAATATTGTAAATAACTAATTTCAGTTATATTAACTAATAATTATAGAAAATAACTTTAAAAATGATATTTATTAGTAATAATTTTACAATAATAGTGTATATTCATTATATATTTATATATACTAAAATTAACATTTATTGTATTTTCAGTAATTATTTATTGTATTTTTTGATAAATATGTTTTCAGTAATTATTTATAAATCTATTTTTATTTTGTTATTTAAAAGAAAATTGTCAATAATTATTGGAGATTAAAAAACTATTATTAACTCTTGAAATTTAATTTATTGTATTTATTGAATTTTTGCTATAAATTTATTTTTATAATTATGTATTTTTTTATAATTTATTGAATAATATTTATTAGAGATTAAACTATTATTTGAGATTATACTATTTATTGACTAATTTAATATATTTTCAGTATTTATTTTATTTTTGTAATTATTGTATTTTCATTATAAATTTATTTTAATAATTGTGTATGTTTGCTATAAATTTTCAATAATTATTAGAGATTAAACTATTAATTTAGCTAAAATTAGCAGTGTTATTTATTTTTAATAATTGGTTGATTTCGCCAACCAAATCAACTTGGTTAGGTCAGGAGTTTGTCACTCGAAACCAACTGACCATTAGTGAAAACCCACCAACTCGGGTTGCATCATTTTGGGTCTATTTTCGGAGTTTGTTTGTTCAAAAGATTTTAACTTAAAAATTAAATTTAAATTTAATAATTTATGGTGGTATTATTAATAAATAAATAAATTTATGATATAAAATATTTTAGACTAAGAAATATGGGAATTTTCCCACTTTCCTATATTAAAAAATTAAATTTAAAATATAAAACATTAATATATATCTATGGTCAGGTCAGTTCAATTTTGGTCGAGTTGCAAATGGCTAAACTGAAAGTGGCCTAACTTGTTTGGGTTGGAAAATTGTTGAACCAAAACCGATCTGAAATACTAGAAAACTGACGAACTGGGGTCGAGTTCGATCGGATAGGTCATTAAAAAGTTAAAATATAAAACAATTATAAACTCTTATGTGTTTCTATTGTTTAGCTTTCACTTAATAAAGCCCGTGCATCTAACGGGTCCCCACAAGTATAAATTATAATT